CTTGAATGAGTTGAGATTCAACCCAATTCAAATTATCTTGAGCCCAATTCTTAAAATTATGGGCGGGTTGGGAGGGTTACCTATGTTTGAGTTCATTTTTGACACCCCTACTTGAATGTCATGTCTATCCCCTATTTATAGTTGTAGGGGTGGACAAGGTTGTTTATGATTGACTAAAAAATGTCATTTTGATATTTGGCGGATTGTGATTTGTTCTTGAATTTGACTGGAACTACTAGGCTTTTTGGACACATGGCATCACCTTGTTGGTCTTGGATGCCTAGTCATTTGATATGTGGCATGTGTTTGGGCTTCAAGATGAAATAGACCTTGGATTTGAATTTTAATAAAATATACTTATTTATTTGTATAGCCCAATTTAAATGAACATGAATTTAATTCAAATTTCGTATAAATTTAATTCAATAAAATTTATGTGTCTACGGTGCCTCACCATCAAATCTTGAGGATTCAATCTGATAACCACGAGTGGGAAATTGGTATTATTCATGCCTAACAGAAACAAATGTTGGAGTTCTATCCCTAACTGCCACTCCAGATGATTGTGCTTCTCCTTCTCCTTCTAGGGCTACATTACTCATTAACATCCTCTTGATCTCATCCATTGTCTGCGCGACCATGACATCCATCATCTGTCGTAGATCCAAGACAGGATTGACTACATTATCCATGGATCTTTTGAGATTGTGACTTCTTTATGCAATTTTGCATCTTTGTGTTATGATCTTCCATTTCTATGGTTCGAGAAAAGGCTTGCTCTAATACTGGTGATGCGAATTACTGAAATTCACAGTGCAATTATGAAAAGATTGAATGTTCTTAAAGGGTAAATTAAAAAAAAAATACCCTATAACAGTTCACCTGACCACAAAAGCTATGGAGGAACTTAGAGGGAAAAAAAGAGTTATATTGATTCTTCAAATCTAAAAAGTGATTGCAGTTGCTGCTAGTTTCAACTAATAAAGGAGAAAACAGAGTTTGAGGTTTTGGAATCACGTGCACAACACATGCCTAGACTAATTTCCTAAGGAGTCGTTTGGTTTGAATTCAAGTTATAATGAAATTAGTTATGATGAGATTAGTTATGATGAAATAAATTATCCTAAGATTATTTTTTATTTAGTGTTTGATTTGTTGTATTCAAAATAATAAATTTTAAGAACAATTTATTTGTTTACATAAATACCCTTCATGAATGTGAAAAATGATGTATAAAATGGGTTTAAAAGGATATTTTTGTCATTTACTTATTTTATCTCGAGATAAGTTATCCCGAAATTACTATACCACCCAAGGTGAGTAATAACTTATTCCGGTAATAATTATTAATCCCAAGATAAGTTATTTCGGATTTGCCAACCAACCAATAAAATAAGTGGCACTATCATTTAATTTCATGACTATTTGGTGTTATCCTTCACACCAAATGACCCCTAACTAATTTCCACACTAACATGTCAACTCATCATGTGCTTATAACTAATCAGCTAATCAATCACCTAATCTTCATAACAAAATAAGCAATAGGGAAATAAGGTATATATCAGACAAGCATATGAATATTTAAGTGTATCGGAAAAAAAATAGTATATACAATCTCACTTAAAGTAGGAATAGGAATAGAAATATTATATAGAATCATGCTTGAAAAAGAATTATAATGTAGTGTCCTAGTTGGAAAAGAAGTCTAATGTAATATCTAAAAATAGGGTCACAATATAATAATATATATACACAATCTAATAAGATTTTTCTCCAATATTTTTTCACATGGTATCGGAGCCTCTACGATCTTGGTAGAGAATAAAAAAAAGCTTTCGCAGCCGGCAGGCGATTATAACTTATATAGCTATCCATCAAGCCAATGATTATGTTAGCAAAAACTGGGGCAATACTATGTGCATGAAAAATAATCATGCCGAGAAGAACTAATTGAGAATCATCTGGGACAAAGAAAGTAGCACCATGCATCATACCAGTGTCTACTTTCTCATGTCTGATTTATGTAGCACCATGCATCTTTCCGTCGACTATTTTTTCATATCCAATTGGCGTAGCAATGTGCATCTTTGTAGTGACTACTTTTTTAGATCTGATTTGTGTAGCACCATGCATCTTTTCGGTGACTATTTTTTCATATTTGATTTGCATAGCGTCATGCATCTTTTCGGTGACTACTTTCTCATATCTAATTTGTGTAGCTTCGTGTATCTTTACAAACTACTTTTTCATATCTAATTTTCGTAGTATGTGTTTCTTTCCGGTAACTCCTCATATATGACTTACATATTTTAATTTTTTGTCGATGTTGTGCAAAATTCAATACCACCTCATGGTCCAGCAACCTCTGGCGACCGAAGCCCAACCAGCGTCGCCGATCGCAATCCCTCACACGTGGCTAGATTTAGAGTTCCAAAAATCGTAGCGGTGTGTAAGTCTGTCCGACCAATTTTTCAATGAATTTCTTGCTCAATATTGACTAGTCTCTTCATTTTATGATGTTTCAAGCACTTTCCAACGATCATTGAATTGTTTCTAGCATTTTTGAGTTTTCCAATATTGTTATCTCTCTGTTTTAGATTTACTTTTTTCAATTTAAGGGTATACCCAGATATTTAGGTTGGATTACACTGATATTTTCTCTCTCATGGCTAAAATAATATATGTCCATCTTTTCTATCTATAGTTGTTGTTTATCATTGGTCTTTTAATCAGTTAGACATTAAGAATATTTTTCTCCAATCTCTCTATGATGATCTTGAGGAAGCTCATATGAAGTAACCACCTAATTTTACTGCTCAAGGAGAGTCTAGTAGCTTGTACATCAATTGTTCAAGTCACTCTATGATCTGAAATATTCTTCTCGAAAATCTTACCAATATTCTTCACATAAGAAAAACAAACTGAGGAAATAGTTTGTAGATCATCCATTGTAAAAGATTTTTTATAATTTTTTTCCATTGTTCGAAGTGAAGAATGTTTGATCATATATGTGTAGATGGCGCAACTCAACCATCTCACAAATGATATCCAATACTAATACTCGTCCTTTAACTCCTTGAACTGTCAAAGTTTCAAGGTTCAAAAGATTAACTGAGAGTGATAATATATCTTCAACAGTCTGAAAAGCAAGATAATGGCTAATTCTTGTCCTCAATGTTGAGGAATACACATTTACCCGTTTCAAAAAAAAAACTTTGTGGGAAAGATTGGTTAGAGTGTATTAAAGTCCAACATTGGTTGGGGAATGAACTAGTAGTCTGCTGATATGGACTTGGGGAAATCCTCCCCTAATAAGCTAACTTTTAGGGTTAAGTTAGATTTAGGCGCCATATTTTTACATGGTATCAGAGTCTGGTCTTTTTTCATTTGGATTCTGGTACATGCTCTGGTTAAGCCTCGGCGTTAAGGAAGGTGTTAAACTTCTCGAGCTTAGTTTGGGAAGTTCAGCACAATCATTCATGGGTTCGGCATGACTCATAGTGGAGAAGATCATTATGTGTCGTATCAATATTCTGCATCAAATCCACTATTTCATGAGAAAACTGAGCACATTGAAAATGATTGTCTCTTTGTCAAAGAAAAGATACTCTCGAGAGATATTGTTAAAAAGATTGTGAAGTCGATTCATCAGCTTAAAAATATATTCACCGATCCTCGTATTAATTACATTTGTAACAAGCTAAGTACATATGACTTGTATACACCAGCTTGAAGGGGAGTTTCAGAATAGGAAGAGGAATAAGAGTAAGAATAGTATATACAATCTCACTTAGAATAAGAATGTGAATAAGAATAGAAATAGTATATAGAATTCTACTTGAAAAGAGATTGTAATGTAATGTCCTAGTTGGAAAAGGAGTCTAATGTAGTGTGTATAAATAGGGTCTCAATGTAATAATATAGATACACAATTCAATAATGTTCTTCTCCAATACTTTCTCACAAGTGTGAATATAAGCCAAGAACTAAAAAAGTCCAAGGGGTTTGACCCCAGTACGACTATGCCTCAATCTCAAACATATAATGCTCAAATATGTTCAAGTTCATAGATGGCATAATACATATATTGGACCCTAAACTTGACTTCAAATTTTAACTTTAACCTCTAACTTTCATAGTGCACAAACAAACACTTTAACTATCCAACTTTTAAATAAATAAACACACGATTTTTGCAGCCAAAGAGCGTGAAATGCAAACGATCCAACGTATATTAGTGAGCCACTCAATGGCTGCCAACTAATTAAATATTTTACACGTCGATTTTAGAACTAAAAAAATCAAAATTAATTTTAATTTATATACAAGAATCAAAATTAATTCATCCTAATCTTTTCCTTTTCTTCATCATATTTTTTTATCCTCTTTTGTAATCCCGAAATAGCAATTTTAGCGTGTTCAGTATAATCAAGTTCACACCACCTAAAAAACTTGCATCCAACCTATTTAAGAAGAACAAATTCATTATCAAAATTGGAACTTGAGAACAAAAATTTAAACAAAAAAAAGATGTCTTAAGAAACCAACGACCTAAATTGTTTGCAGACCAAGAAATCTTCATTATAGCTCTTTTTCCACAATGAAAAAAAAAATAGAAGCCATTTGCACTAAATATGAGCAGAAATAGTTCTAAAGAGAGGAAAAAATCTAAGTTTGAGATTTTGATATGGAAATATAAAGATATATATAATAGGGATCATTAAGGGTAGAGTTGTCATTTCAACATTTTTTTTTACTGTTGTGGGCCTTGAAAATTACTCCGAACGCGCGCAAAATAAGTGCACATCACGCGTTTTGCCAGCTAGGACTCGCGTGTTTATTTATTTAAAAGTTGGATAGTTAAAGTGCATGTTTGTGCACTATGAAAGTTGGAGGTCAAAAGTTAAAATTTGAAGTCAAATTTAGGGTCCAATATATGTATTATGCCAATTAGATTGAGCAGCGGGTCTAGTCACAAATAGACCATAGACAGTATGTCAGTCACCAGAATGTCACTTGAGATTAAAACTATCTCAGAATACTGTATATGTCATATTCCAGATGTTAGCATCAACAATAATCACTATCTCAATCCCAAACATAATTGTGATTGACAAATCAGTCGTACATATTTACTTCAAGCATCATCAACAAGTAGACTACAGACAACTGATCATTGAGACACATTACTTTTGGACGAAAACTTTCCTGGAACATTTAATATTATATCTAGCTGTTAGTACCAGCAATACTATGCCTCGTGAGAGTTTTATTTCATAGCATTATCAGCAGATGGACTACAGACGCATTACTTTGAATGAAATGGTGATCCAGGAGGAGCCATCAAACCAAGCGCTTGCATTACCTTCATCCGACGTCCGCTTGGTGCTTGTTCCCCTGCTGAAGCTACTGCCTGAATGGAATGTCAACAATTGCAAAGTTGCATAATAATATTGCAAACTACTAGAAGATTAAATATAGCAATAACATGCAGTCATGATTCCACGCCACTAAAGACGTGCATTGTCCAATTCGTCTACTCTCATTTTCTCTGAGATGTCATTCAATTTTGTTAAAAGCAGAAAGAATAAATTATGAAGCAAGACTTAGCAGAAAAGTTAAACCAACATAATTTCTGTATCATAAGACAGCAAAAAAGGATATCAATATATCATAATGGTAACACAACGCAAATGGAAAACTTGAAAGGACAAGATTTATGAATTAGTTGTTGCATCTGTGTTTTTGCCCCTTCCTGTTATCCACTTGTGGAAGACCCACGCCTTCTATTAGAATAGGAGGCACAACTTCAAATCAATAACCTTCAGAGGTAGAAGATGTTCACTCCCAGAAGCTGGGTGAGTTTTGACTTGTTTTCTTTTTTATTTTAGAAAAAGTTTTACTTGACTTGGAAACTATCATAAGAGCAGCTCCTTCCCTTGCACTTTGATTACCTTCTTAGCGCATCTTATAAGAAAATATTACATAGCATTTCTGCTATTTTTCATTCAAAAGAGCCATTTCTGAAGTTTAGGAAAGAATTTTAGACTTTAAAATCCCCATATACCAAAATATGCTACTAGATGTTTTCTCAAGGTTCCCATTCACAAAAATGAGAAGAACACAAATTTAACTGGAACTTGAACCAAGCATTGGTATTTAAGACAGTTCTGAGTGAGGATGAAACTTGCAGAAGTTGAGGGTGTCATGTCCTGACTTTTCTTGTTTCCTTTGCCTTGAGATGCACCCGTGCTGAGTGTTTCTGCTAAAAAAGAAACACTTCTCACTAGAACATGGGGGGAGGGAAGGAGAAAAAAGAATGTCACTGAAGATCAATATCAATGATAATTGAAAATCTTAAAGGCACCATGGTGGACCTACTTGTTGACTCAAGAGACTCATAATTTCTTGTAATCGATGAAATTTAGTTAATGTTACATAGATGCAATAATAACTACATATGTTATGCTCGTATTTCATTGAGTTTTAGTTAAGTTATATGCTTTATATGTTGCAAAAATCAATCGTACTATATGATGGGAAGGGAGAAATGCTTGGTTTGATGTTTACAACAACATATCCAGTGTTATCCCCACAAGTACTGAGGCCTAGGAAGGGTAGTGTCAGGTGTGTATGGGGATCATACCCTACCTATCGGAGATCAAGAGGTGGTTTTTGATAGACCCACGGCTCAAGAAGGATCTAAACACTTGGTTTGATGTTTGGGCTATTAAATTATGTGTCTGAGGAGGTTGGGATTGAAATAAAGGTATTTGACAATTAATGGACTCTCAGGAAGAAGAAAAGTTGGGAGACAACACAAGGGGTACAGATTTTGACAATTCAAACAAGTCTTAACTTCAAAAGCTTGCAACTCTCAGTAGATCAACAATTTATCCATCACTTTTAAAGGAAAGTTCTAACCCTTGAAATCCAGTTTTCAACGACTTAAACAGTTTGTCATTTGAGTTCTTCCAAAGGTGCACACTCATGTATTTAAACCATTCCAATGAGGCCCAAGACCCTCATTTTTAATTCCCTGCCCTTACAAAGCTTCCACACAACTCCCCAACAAGGTAAATTTCAAATCACCTGTTAGGAAGCGTAGGTTATATACCTGATTCATGTGTAGCATTTTGATGAATGGCAAATTGTTTATGAGAACCAGGTTCACCCACAGGACAGGAGCAGGAAAACCAGTTCTAGGGACGAAGGGCTATTTAAGGTAATGATGAGTTGGTATTTTACCGACTCATTGGACTCAACTTCATGAATTTTTGCCATGTTTTTATGCTAATTGAGGGGATATTAGGCCCTAGTTCTCTTGTATGCAGACATACTTTAGAAAAAGCAAGTTTGATGGATTTGAAGCTGAAAATCACTAAGCATACCAGTGAAAGGAACTGGAATCCCACAGGAGGCATCTCGCCAGCTAAATGCTAGCCTGAAAGAAGCAAAGTTGCCTCAGTACCGGCGCTGCAATTGGCATGGTACAATGATTGATCAGCGGCTCGCCGATTCCAGCACAGATGCACCTGTGAGAACTAAAGCTGGCAACCGGACCGAACTGGCAGAACAAGACCAATTTTACCAGTATCAGAACCGGTCCTCGTTAACCGGAGGAATTACCGAAACCGGTTTTACCGAAACTTTTCGGAAGTTCCAGCCCGGTCCTATAGCTACCGGTTTGGACCGATACAGGAACCGGGTCCAACCGGTTTGGACGTTCAGTAATTTTTTTTTAATAACTTATTAATTTTTACTTTATATTATTATATAATATATATTATTATATATTAATATTATTAAATAAATATATAGTTATATTATTATGGAAAAATCACCTCATATATCTATTTAAGGCTTAATATTACAGCCTTTAGATGTACTCTTTTTATATTACTACTTATAACAGTTTAATTACAAGTATTAACAGATTAGTTTTAATTTATAATTTATTTTATTTTATTTAATTAATTAGTTATTATTTTTATAATTACATTATAATTAATAAGTAAGAGAAATA